AAATCTAAGCAAAGGAAGATAAATGATCAAGAGAAAGAGAAAGAGAGATAGAGAGATCAGCTATTGAGACACAGTCAACCCTTTGTTCTTCTTGGCTGTGTTTCTTAGGTTTAATCCCCATTACCTCCTTATATATAAGGAGAGATATGCTGATGTGGCAGCTTTAACGGTTTCAGTGGATAAATTATAGTCCTTCACATTCTCTCCGTGACTGTGCATACCCTACAACATGTATATACTTTCTTGTGTTCTTTTGGTGTGATAAAATAGCAGAGATAAAGAGCTTCTCGCTATCATTATTGCCTTATAAAATAGAAAATATTCATCATGTGCAATTTCTACAGCTAATTATTTTGTGTACATATATGGAGAGGAGATTAGGAGGGAAAGGGATTTGGATTCTTTTAATCTTATTATAAGTTGAAATTCTTTTCTAAAACCTCTCAATAATTAGAGGCAATCTTAGGACCCCATAGAAACTATTAGAATTATTAGTCTTTTTTGTCTGGGAGGAGTTTAGCCACATAATGCGTACCTTAATTAATTTACAACTCTATTAGGTAGACATGTGGGGGTGTTATGAATAGAGATGATGACCAACATGATACTTGTATTTAATATCATATTTGATGTTATATATGATATTTATCTTGTACTATTTAAAAGCACAAAGGACAGGTGTAGGATGTTGAAAAGGCCTGGGACCTCTTCCGTTGCATTGAAATCTAAGCTGATTTATGTCTAGTTTCTTTTCTTTGCTACTGATATTGCCCCTCAAACTTGTAACATGATGGTGCAAGAACGCACAAGATCTCTTGAATTACCCTCTTCTTAGAAAGTTAACCCTATATTTTGTGGCAGGGGTGGTGTGTGGTGTAATACTACTACGACTGTGACAAGCAAATAGTCCTAGAAGCGAAAGGAAGAATTTAGGCATTCAAAAAATGTGGGGGAAGTGAAAACACTGACCACAACATCTCACCCTTGATCAATACTTGACTCCTCTATCATTTGATTAGTGAAATCCAGTACAATTGTCTTCTCAAGACAATCCAACCTCTGATTCAACCTTGCCAACACTGGGGACCCAGGTCCCATGTCGTTTTGCTCTAGAATTGGTTTTTGCAAATAAAGACACGCAACTTTATATGAATTGGGTGTCCCATTTCCTTTCTTCCATGATAGAAACTTTCTAAATGGAAAATGTATTGGTTTCTCAATTAGGCCACTACAAGCTGTCAATTCCATTCAGGTGAATGGAGAGTTCATAGTTAATAAAGGCAGCAGTACTAGTCTGTAGAACAGTTCAATGGTTTGAAGTTGATCCTTCTAAGTTGGAAGTATCAAGTTCAAATTCACAAAGATGAGGAAGATATATTGAAAGGTTATCCTCTTTTATACAGTTTAGTCGATTGTCATATCTACCATAAAAAAAAGAGGCACCAAAATTTACTTCTCTCAAGATCTTTAACACGAGAAATTCGTTCTGTAGGTCTCTAGGGCAGTGACTGAGTAGGCAATCTTCCCAAATCGCCTCCTTAAAAGAGGCATCTTCTTCTACTCTTCTGATTGCTTCTATTCTAACAATTCACACCTCATGCTGAGGCGCAATTGGGCATTTGAATTAGAATTTCAAATGTGATAAAGATGAGAGGATATAATTAGGTTAAAGCATATTCTTGTTGTGGTAAACTATTGCCGCAGAAATATTTGATTCCCTTGTAACCCTTTCCTTCATTTGAATTAGAATTTTCTTTCTACCTTTTTCATGGATACTAAATTCAAACAAACCCTTTGCTTCTTGTACTCGTGTGGTTACTATCCTCCCAACTGTCCATTCAAAATCTAATATGAATCTATTTTCAGGTAAATAATGCATTCGATTTTAGCTATAAAGGTGAAGGCCAAGTAGGTATATTTGCTAGAGATTATACTTTTACTATCGATATTAATCATCTCAGATTCTGAGCATATATGGTTTTATTTAAAAAGCAGATCTAAGATTGATTAGCCGGGAATTATTTGGACCTTTGTATAATAAAGAGCATATGCTAATTAATTAGAATCAAAGCAATCTCATCCACAAAGCATAAGCATGCATGCTGAGAGATGAAGAATGATTCTCATCTTATTTATTATTACTTGAAAAGTGAGAATGCAGTTACAGATATTGTGGGACTGTTTGAACCACAGAAGGGAAATGCACAGGAATTGATGCAAAGTCCCCTGTGCAGCTGCTTTACATTATGCAAAATGTATGGATTAAATCAAACTTCTACTTTCTTTCTTTCTTTCTTTCTTTCTTCTTCTTTTTTTTTTTTCTTCCTGTTTCTTCTTTGGTTTTCCTATGGGTTGATATCCTTAATTTTTTTATCGGCTTGGTATGTTCAATTAACTTGTATGTATATGATTAAGTTCAATTTCCTGACCTAATACTTAAGTTTTCAATTTTTAATAATATTGATTTTATATTTTTATTGGTAACAAAAATAAAACACTTGACTATTTCAGAGGTTTAAATCCTTAACATGATTTTAGAATTGAAGTTTTGGAATTAGTGAATGTTAATTCCGCTAGACTCCTCATCTTTTGGTGCACTAAATGAATTTGGGAAGAAAGGTTTCACTTCAGGAATTATAAATCGTTGAATTGAATTATAGGGGTTCCTGCCCTTCGTAATATCCTTTCTCCTAGTTATTTTCTTTCTTTTGGTTTTTGCTTCTTTCTAGCTCAGACATGTGTCCCGGGACACGTACCAATGAATGTAGAATCCTATCTAGATTCTCATTGTGTCTTATGCATTTGAAATTATCTCTTGGTTTCTTATAATTTAATTAAGTGTGATAAATAAACAACTAGAAAATTAAAAAAATTAAAAATTAAAAAAAAAAAAAAAAAAACCATGGATAATACTCACCAAACCTTTTCTTATTGTGGGTGGATTTTCTTGTTGTTGGTGTGTTTTTTTTTTTTTTTAAAGAAAGGTATTTTAGTTGTCAAGGAGTATTTTTGGCTTGAGGGAGAGAAAAAAAGTTTTTTATTTGGTTAAAAAAATTAAAGGAAAAATGAAGAAAATGGAAGGATGCGATATTCTTTTATTTTTCTTAAATTAAATCTACTCTAAAAATTATTTCATTAATTAAAGAGTTTAAGTCTTTCATAAAAATTGATTTAGAAAAATAAGTTATCCTTATTGTATAACCTTTATTATAAATGTACCAAACATAGTTTGGATGGTTTAATGGTTTGTCTTTAATTAGTTTGTCTTTAATTAGTTTAAAGAGGTCTACTTAAAATAATTAATCTGTGGTGTATAGATTAATCTCATATATCACCTACTAATAAAGTTTTTTAAAATGTACCCAAAAAAGATAAAGTGTTTTAAAAGAAAAATCCAAGACATGATGTAATATTGAAGAATAAAAAATTGAGAGCAATAATCTAGGTTAAAGAATGTTGGGATATTAAATACATAAACAAATATACAAATGGGGAATATAAATGAGACTCAATGTTCCAAGGCTGCAACCTGTCAATAGCAACATTGCACATAGACATGCATCTTTGGTTTAAATTTTTTTTTAAAGAAAAAAGAAGAAGTATTATATATGTTAATAAACAAACAAACCATTTGATAATTATTGAGAAAGCAATCGGCTTAATCAGTTAATTGGCACTTGGCATCATCATCACATGGGGGTTTAGTGGTCCATAAACCTAATTAAGAGAACTTTGTGGTCCCTTAATTTTGTTGTGTTGCCCAATACTTATGTAATTAATTAATGAATAATGTTTGGCTAAATAGATAAAATAGTTGCATAGAAGAAAAAGGAAAATGTTGGTGCCGTACTGGCGAAGAGTGGAAGTTTCTTCATTCAAGATTTTACTAAGACACTTTCATAGTGGGGTCTCTTGCATAGCAATAATAATGGATGCAGATTGAATTCTTTGGTTATTATTTGGCTCTTTATTGTGTTTCATTCTTTTAATTAGGAAAGATAGACTCATGCTCAGTTAAGATATTCTAGAAAAATGTCTCAATATTTTAAAGTTCGATTTTTATGTTTAAAATTTCAAATTCAAACATTATAAGGAATAAAGAGAGTTTTTTTTTTTTATTATTATCTTAGTTGCAAAATAAGAGATAACTATCTCTCATCCATTATCTTGTCTCGTTTGTATATCATACAATTCGAATTTAAGATATTTTATTTTAAACGAAAGAAAATAACTACTGAATTATTTACTCGTTGCTGAAATAAAGAGAGTTTTAAAAAAATAAAGACATAATTTAATCATTTAATGCATAAAAAATAAAATTATACACACATTGAGAAGTTGGTCGGGATTTTGGTATAGCAGTCAAGTATTTTTATAGATTAGTTTTCGTGTATTGTACCAAACCCACATCTACCTAGTCAAATACAAATTATTTATACCAAGATTAAAAATACATGAGGAATCAACTTTTTATTAATCTCTCATAAACTCAAAAACTCGTTCATAAGGAAAGCAGACTATTACTCTCTCTTATTATTATTATTTTTAATTGTCCTAGTTTTATTATGCAATATGTATGTTTAGGCAATGCTTTCTCATGGTCTATAAATAATAGGCCAAAACCCTTATTTGCACACTCCATTTATTTTTTTTCCGGGGCAAAAACCTTCAAAAATTTTTCTCCCCAATCAAAACCTTCAACTTTCAAAAACCCAAAAAAAACCAAAAATTTAAACCCCCCGTAACGGAACCGTAAAAAAAGGAATAACGAGCAACCAAAAAATGAACGGGCCAATAAGGGCCCGTAAGAAACCAAAGGGGAAGCCTTTTTTGAAGAAGGGGGTTAACTAAAAAAAAAAAATAAAAAAATTTGCTCTAGGTTCCTTGTGAGGAACCCGAGCTGGGTTCCTCACGACGAGGAACCCAGATCGGGTTCCTCACAAGGAACCCAGCTCTGGGTTCGGCGAGGAACCCGAGCTGGGTTCCTCCGCAGGAACCCGATCTGGGTTCCTTTGGTTGCAAAGTTGGGTTATTTTATCTTTCTTTGATTAGTTTTATTTCCTGTATCGTGTTGGATTAGTTTTATTTTCTTGGATTTTGTTTCTGTTTGTTTTTGGTGAGGAGAACTTCCGATTTGCTTAACTTCCGATCAGCTCGAACCCAGATCGGGTTCCTTCGGAGGAACCCAGCTTGAACTCGATCTGGGTTCCTCACGAAGAGGAACCCCCCTAAATTTTTTTTTTTTGGTGGGGATGTAGGGACAAGCGGGAAAAGTCCTGTGCAGTGGGTCCCACTGCACATGCGGTGTCCACGTGTGCAAAAAAAAAAAGCCACATCATCAAAAAGCAGATCCACGTCTGAACATAACGAACAAGGAAACGCCGCATGTGCCACGTCAATTTCTGGGTGCCACATCGTGTGTTTTTAACGGTGCCGTAACGGTTCGTTAAAATATTGAGTTTTTCACGGGTTTTGAAAAATGGAAGGTGTGAATAGGGAGAAAAAATTCTGAAAGGTGTTTGACCACGAAAAAAAAATAAATGAAAGGTGCAAATAGGGGCTTTGGCCTAAATAATAATTGATTTTTTTGGTAAAACGAAACTACTTAACAAAAAATATACATATAAGAGAAAAAATAAATAAATTGCTCCACCATTTGTATACTATAAAAAAAAAATTATCCAAATATACAAGTACAGTATTAAAAAAAAAAAAAACAAACAAACAAACAAACCAGAGGACTATATGCATAATATGCCAATGATTGTATAAGAACATGGACTTTGTACACAAAATAACTTTAGTCTTTAGGCTCTTAGCAAGCGTGAAGCCCATGTTACCAAAAAAAAAAAAAGTAAGCCTGAAGCCCATAACATGAATTGTGGCCCATATTATTTTCAACCCAAAGAAGCCCCATCATCAAGCCCAATCTTCTCTACTCTTATCATGTTCACGGAAACGATGAATTGGCTGCTAAACAACGCTTCCCGCCGCCGTCAGAACCAGCACTTTCATCGCCGGACTGACGAATTCTTTCCAAAGTGAACCGGAGAAAATGGGGTTGCTGGCAGCCATTGGGGTGCTGGCGCCATTCCCGTTCTACTACTGGCTGTGGACAAATCCGCATTCATGGGTCAACCTTTGTGGGAGAGGAAGGGATCCATCAAGGGTGATGGCACTCGTCTCGCATTTCTTGAAGCTGGTGCAGTTCATCTCTCTCTTTTCTGTGTCTTCTCTCTCATGGCCTCCGCCCCTCTACTTCTGGCCCCTTATTGCCTTTGGTCAGTTCCTCAACTTCAGGTAAGTCGGTCAATATCAGTTCTACTCGTATCTATATATGCATCTGCAATGTCCTGTTGCTATTTAGTCAGATTCTGTACCTGGGTTTTTATTTGGGTTGATTTAGTTTTAGTTTTTATTTGGTCTCCTTTCTCAAGATTACAGTTTTGAACCTTGTGGATTCGGTATTTGCATTTATGTTTCTGAGCTCTTGGGAACTTATTTGATTGGATGTTTCTGCCTTCATGGGTGGAGGATATGTACGTATTGTTTGGATTGGGGATATTGGACGGAAAGGGAGGGGAAGGGATGGAGACAGATGACAAGGGAGGGGAGGTTGTCCCCTTTCTCCTGTTTGGGTTTTCAAAGAGGGAGAAGGGGAGGGAGATCGACGGACTCCGACTCCCTCCAACCACTCTCAATTCTGCAGATTTGCAATCCTTCTGATTTGGGGGCTTGGGAGGGATTGCAGGTACTGTTTAAATTAAATTAAATATAATTACAGAATTAACTTTTTTATCTATTACCGTCCTTATCCTTTTTAAAGGATAAATTTGTAAATTTAAAATTAATTTAAATCTTTCCCTTCCTTTTACCTTAATTATCCAAACATAAAAAATACAATCCTTCCCTTTCCTTCCCTTTCCTTTCCCTTCCTCATTTTTATTTATCCAAACAAAATTAACACAAATAATTTCCTTCCATTTTCTTCCCTTCCCTTTCCTTTCCTTCCCCTCCATTCCCCTCCCTTCCCCTCCCTTCCCTTCCCTTTACTATTTTCTATCCAAACAATACGTAGGCTCTTGAGGGGTTTCAATAGGATGGGTTGGTTACTCAAGCCCCTTAGAGTGATCTTTTTTAGGTTCTCCAGAGGGATGAAAACTGCATTCTTTTGTAACACCAAAAGAGAAAAAAAAAAAATTCGAGGTTTAAATTATTTTTATTTGTCAGAAGTTTGTGGAAGTTGTGGGGCAACCATTTTTTAGCTTGTTTGCTTCAGAACCATTTAGTCTAATGCTCCATAAGCTTGTTTTAGTTTCGTTAATGACGTCCTCAGATAATATAGTATTATAGTATAGAACTTGAGGATTGACATGTTTTATAGGAGTTGCATGCCAATGAGGCTTAAGGATCTTCTAGGGTGACCTGCAACACAACTAAATTTAATAGACTCTACAATTTCTAAGGTTGCTTTTGCATGAGTAGAAGTGAAATCATTTTCAATACTTTCTTCATTAGGTTCGTACTTCCTCATCCTTTTTCTTTTCCAACAGAAACAATGAAAAGAAGACTCCAACAGCTGTTATGTTTTGAATGTATCTATGTTGATTATGATGATGTCAAATCATTCATTGCAAGGATATTATTGCAATGATAGTTCAGAGCATTCAAGGAATTCAAAATACTCATGCCTAGAAAATGAGGTCCAAAACTGTAATTTGACCATTTTAGGAGAATAACTGCTTATCCATGAATATTTAAGTTCTTCTTCAGACTGTACTACCAGGAGTCAAAAACATATATGTGAACAACTTTTCTGTTGATCTGGATGTAAGACATGGCTTTTGCACTTTAGATCTAGTGTTGTTCTGGCCGTCGAGTTGTTGGTTACTGCCATGGCATTAGGTTGCTGTTTTTTGATCCTATACCTTCCTATGCTGAACTGGAATGCTGTTTTGCAGGGTCTATCAGTTGCTTGGTGAATCTGGCACTTATTATGGTGTTCGTTTTGGAAAGAATATTCCCTGGGTAACAAAATTTCCATTCGGGTATATCAAGGATCCTCAATATGTTGGAAGCATTTTGAGTCTTCTTGCCTGTTGGTCTTGGGTACCTTTGCAATACATTCTCCTCTGGTCACTTGGCTATGTGTTTATGATCCATCTGGAATCAACTGAAATTCCAGCTACCCGTGCAAAGCCTCTCTCTTGATTACAAGACTTATAGCTTGACCAATCAGGGGCTTGGCTGAAAAAGCTGGCCAAAGATGCTTTCTGTATCTTTATTTTAGCCGGAAGACATCTTCATTTGAAATTCTTGTTTTTTTACTTCCATCTAACTTTGTTCCTCACCAGGTCTTATTCTTTTTATGCTCTAGGTGTCTGTTTAATGTCATTAACATTTTGTAATGTCTGTTGAATAATTTAGTTGCAGTTCAACCTGGTGTGAAAGGTTTCAGGCTTTCACCTTTTAATCCTTGCTTTTTTAATAATAACTTGCAAGGTTTATATGCCCAACAGTCTCAAACAGCAGGAATATGAATTTTCTGTTAAAATGCAAAATACAAATCTTATTAAGACATGAATATGTCGACTTATTATCGACTCACTTATGAATATGCAACTATAGAGAAACAAATTAGGTCAGAAACTGAAAAACAAGAAACAAAGGATTGAAAGACAATGGGAAAAGAATGATATTGGTGATACCTTCTAACTACACTAGAGCTAGGGAAACATCAAATATTTGCATTGCTTGTTTAACAGCCCCAACATCAATATCTATCAACTTTCCAGTCTTTGATGAAATAATGGTACATTTCTTCTCTTCAGCATTAGGGACAAATATGTCTGCCTTCTGTTTAGAGCAAAACAAACCGATGCTGCAATTGCAAAATTGGGTAGCAGATATTAGATTTGACTAAATATTGATTTAGCAAACTGGTAGGTTTGATTAATAATGAACCATACCTTGGTTTTTCACGTGCATTTGCAAGTTGGATAGCTGCTGTGTTTGTAGCGATCACCCCAGCTGAGTCATTAATGAAAGCAGCAAGCTAAAGCAGATAGAAAAACAAACGAACAAACAAACAGTGCCAATGTTAGATTTGAAACATTAGTATCTTAAAGGCATTCCATGTTCATTAGCTACTGCAATGAAATGGGTTAAGTATCATGTTAGGTAGTGTTACAAAGTCCACTAGCAAAAGTAGAGTCTCAACTAGGCATTGTAACATAGTAACAAATTTGAGTGTAAAAGGTAAAGCATACCTGTCCAGGGGTAGTGATGAACACAATACTTGCATCTTCCCCCACTACATCCTCTACGTTTTCTCTTTCTTTCTCATGTGGAATGACAAAGACTGGCCTAATTCCACTGTTCCATAATATATAAACAATAAGGTTAACAATTATCTGAAGCAGGATGGCCAAAAAAGTCATCCAAAGCAGTGACAGTTACTTGATTGCTTGTCATCTCTTCAATGCACTATGATTTTTACCTATCATGCTAGATTCTGTGACACAGTTATAAGGAAGAAAATTCAGTAAAATACCATACCTTATACCCTCAGCTATTTCAGCCCATACTTCAATAGGAAGCAAGCAATCAGTATCACCTCTGGAATGCATTGAAGCCTTAGAATCTGATTCTATTCCATGAATTACAATATATTTTCCTTTCTCCGCACCAGCTTTCTGATATTTTTCTGCTACAACCTCCTTCAGCTTCCTTGAAATAGAAACTCGCAATGGGGGCACAGGTTGCCTTGGGACGCTGCGAAATGGTCTCCCCAGCCACTCAACCATCTGACAGTACCTATATCATAGAATTCCGTTTGAGACTAGGAAAATTTAACATAATTCCTTCCTAACCATCATTTTCTTCTTCTGGGTGTGTGCATGTGTTAATGGGTAACTAGCTCTTTGATGCAAGGTTCAGAGCTGCTTATAAAGTAAAACATACTTAAAAAGTGGAAATTGATCCTCTTGCAGTCCAATGTACTATAGATATAACTGTTCAATTCATTTACATTCATAAACTCACATATTATATCCCCCTTCTGAAAGATTCAAACTATCTGGTGTAAAGGTTTCTGATAGAAGCAACCCCGCTCCTGCTGCATTCACATTTGGGTAAATGTAGCTGACTCTATCCCGAGCTGATGTCATCAACAAAAATGCTGCATGACCGATTCCAGCTAATTTGGTTGACAAAATCATGTCATAGTACCTATTCTGCAAGAACAGGGCAACATGCATGGCAACATAACCCAAATTGGTATCCCTTGAAAATCTTAAATATGCCAAAAGTAAACAGACTCCAGTTAGAATGTTAAGATACATTGTGGGTGAAAGATAAAAGATGCCCATGTTCAGAACACAACTACCTTCCTTTATAATAAACAACTTCATAAACACAAGTTTACTTTGTAGCTATTCAATGCTGCATACAACACTTGTTGGTAATCAGCTGAAATCTCCTCACCTAGAATTTTTAACAAGCGGAACATAGGTAGACTATTTGTTTTTTTTTTTTCACTATGTTCTGAAAAAGGAAGCATCCTAATCTTTGTAATTATGTGAATTTTGATACACTCAAATTGAAAGAACCGGAATTTCCATTGAACTAAGTTACTACAACAGAATATAAGCCTCAAAATGAAGGCGCAGGACAAGGGAAAACCCAGCAAACCTTTAGAACTCCAATCATGTCAGTGTAATCGGCCGGTTCTGGCCAATTATCATCAGGATCATAAGCATTAGCCCATCTCACATTCTTGTTCAACTCGTAAGTTTGCTTCCCTCTAGCGGATGCCAATATATCCACTTGAACACCAGGATACCTGAATGGAAAAGAGCAAAAAGCAGTATCATCAATGTGAAATATCTGAGAAATGAAGAGGTGATTAAAAGCAAATAAGAGCTCGATTTCAGACCCATTTGAGCATACCTGTCCTTGATCAACTGAATAGCAGGAAAAAACAACAGATTCTCATAGACACCCCCAGAAATTACACAGCAGCACCTCCTAACATCACCTCTTATTTTCAATGGCAATGATGCCACCTCCACATTGAACCCCATGGGAAATTTTAAGAAACCATAGGGATTATCTGGGTTATCCGGAGGTCTTGGATCCTCCTCCTGCTTACCATCAGCGAATAAAGAGCCATATTCCATGTTGGGGTCATCTCCATAGTCAAAAGGGTCGAGCCATTGGTTCTTCTTCTTTGCAAAGGTTTGGAAATTTGGTGTTTTGGTGCGTGGAGGAGGATCTATAGAGCTAAAGAACAGAGGTTTGGGGATACAGGTGCGGTGGGCAGATGGAAGTGAAGGCGGGTTTTTGAGGGATGGAGGGATGGTTTTGGGTAGCAAAGGTGTAGCCATGGAATCTGCAGCTGTTATTTCAGTTCGGTTGACGTTGGGATTTCAATGTGTGGAAGGTGGTTTGGATAAGTCGGTCTGTTAGTAGCTTTTTGTAACTAGTATTTCTTTATCGGCAAAATGCATTACAAAATTTTAGAGTTTGGGTAAATTAACGAGAGATATGTTTTTTTTATTAAAAATTGATGAGATATATATATATATATACACACACATAAACATGGATCTTTGATAAGATATAAGTTACTTGATAAAATATAAAATGAACAGGTATAATAAGTAAATTAATGAAAAGTTGTTAATTTAAGTTTTATGATACATAAGTAAAATAAATTAAAAAAATATAAAAAGATTATTTTTTTATGTAATTTAATATTAAAAAAATAAATATTTTATTTTATGTCAAAACAAAATAATATTTCTAATCGAGTATAAAGAATCAATAAATCTTAACATGTAAATGTAATAATAATAAGAAGAAGAATAAGAGTAATTTATTATTATCAAATCATTTCTCATTTATAAAAATTTATGAATCTATATAAACTTTTATTTTTAATAACATTTCAAATTATTTTTAACTGGATGGCCAAAAAAAAAAACAAATTGTTTTTAACTTACAATATAGGCAGCACAATATAATGGTCTCATGAAACTATGAAAGACCTTAACACTCCAAATTATTTAAAATTGTTATAAAATGCTATATTTGTGATTTTTTTAGTATTTAATTTTTTAAAAAATTATGTTATTATTTAATAACTACTTTAAAATAGTTTTATATATTTATATGATCACTAAGTTTTATAAAATATTAATTAAAATAAATTTAATTATAATAAATTGAAAAACAAAGTAAAAAAGGCAACCCCAAGGGCAACCTAAGATTATACCATTTAAATGAAACAAAATAAAGTTTAAGAACCTAATGGAAACATACTTAAGAGTTTGGAGGCAAAAGGTGACATTAATTTTGAGACATGAGAAGTGGTACAGTTTGGACTTTGGACTTTGGAGAGAAACTCGGGTTCCGTGTCGGGTCGAACTGAAATAACGTTTTCGCAAACAAGCCCAATTGACGTGGCATTATGTGACTGGTTGTTTCCCTTCCCCGTCTCCCGTTTCCCCAACAACATCCAAGAAAAACCCACTCATTTTCTCTCCGCATTTTCCCACACTTTCCCTCGACCCAAACAGCCAAGAAACGACACCATCATCAGAAAAACTTCGCTAAAACCACTTCCAGATATGTCTTCTGAACTTCTATGTCGGCAATGCAGCATCCAATTTTCATCCTTTTAGCTTTTCTACAGTGATGACATTCTCACTCCGCAGCACTAACTCACCCCAAATAACTCTTGACCTCTTTTCCTTTCCACTTCACTGATATCAAACAAATTACTGCATTGATATTCTTCATTTCAGTTCAGGGTTAACCCTAGAACCGTGAATTCTGAAAGATTATAGCGTTGGGTCATTTGGGAATTTTGTTAAAATTTTCAGTGCAGTCTGAAGCTATAGATTGGGAGCTTTTACGGGGATTTTTGAGATTGAAGAAGAAATTGAGGGGAAAATGTCGGGCCCACCCCGGGTCAGGTTAGTGAACATAGCGACGGAGGTGGAGGCTAGGTCCGTTCTGGGTCCGGCAGGCAACAAGGCGCCGCGGAAACCGGCGCCAAAATCGGTCAAGAAACCTGAAAAGCCGGTACAGGAAACTGGAGCTAAGGAAAAAGAATTACAAAGTCCAAAAAGTCCAGCGCCGAAGCCTCAATCATCGTCCTTGACTTCATCGATTATGAGGCAGCAACGGGAGGGGCGGGTGACTAACTTTTCGATGAACGCTTCCTACTCTTCTGACGGAGCATCTTCTTCGGGCTCTTCATCGAGTGGAAGGGCGAGGGTAGGGCGGCGGAGCGGTGTTGTGGTAAGGAGAAAGCAATGTGAGGGGGAAGTGGAGAAAGATGAGTGTGGGATGAAGGTGGAAAAGAGTCAGAGTGAATTGGTGGACTCAGATGGTTTTATAGAGGGGAAGAAAAGGTGTGCCTGGGTCACACCAAATACAGGTACTCTAGTCTTTTCTGGTTTCTCAGTGTAATGAATTCAGCTCTTATTTCTAATTTGTTTAGTTTTGATTGAAAGCACATACAGCTTTTTTGATATAGAGTTCATTAGAAAAAAGATGTTAATTATGTTCAGTTCTATTCTATCTTTTGGTTTTGAGAAGAAGAAACTTCGATTTATCTAGTATAAATGGATATTGATAAGGATTTAGGAGATCATTTTTGTTTATTAGGGAGTGAAGTGAGGCTGTGTGTTGATTAATTGTGAGGAGAAATGAAGCTGATAGGATTCATAGGAACCTAAGTCAATTTATGGGGTTTGGATAATGGCAACTGATTTTTCACCCTTTTTGTGGGATGTCATAAAGAGTTTTCTAATTTCTACTTCATAGTAGTCTAACAGTGGATAAGATTTCCATTGAGGGGTTGGTCGTAACAGTCCCCAATGGAATTGGTCTTATTTTCACGTTAACTTAATAAAAGCCTTTTGGTTACTTATTCAATTAGGAGACATTTGATGAAATGGTCCTAGTCTTAAAAGATGAGTTATTTTATTTTCTTTTGAATCTCGTACATCATTGTCTTAATGTTGCTGAAGTGGTTCTCCTGGTTACTTTAGTTTATGTGGTACTACTAGTCTTAGCAAGTAGCAACTAAGAGTGGGCAGTGAATATGCTGGGAAGAATCAGTTGATTCTTTGGTGGCTTGTGAAGTGGATTGTCATTTTAAAGTAAGTTGTAAGGGGACATCAATAGGAATAAAACTCCTGAAACAGAGGGAAATACCATAGTTTTGGCTTTTGTATTCAGTATTTTATCTTCTTTCTTGACTTGAAGTTGACAGGATAATCTGCAGAGAATATGATACAAGATAGGACATGAAGCTCAACTTGAATCCTATTTAGGAGAAAATTGATTTGTTTTTAGTCATGGTACTTACAGCTGGAAGATGAGCTGTGTCTTAATTGTTTACAAATATAGAATGGTGTTTAGAAAAGTTCTCTGCTAACGAAGAAAACCTTAGGAAGTACAGTTTTCTGTTTTATGAGTGCAATATCTATATTCATTTGAGTGGAAAAGCCCACTTCTTCATTTTTTGTTCTCTTTTTACTTTTTCTTTGTATGACTGTGATCTGTTACAATGACTTGCATGGACCATGGCTTAGCCACTAACAATAGATTTGGGAGTGGAATTGACACTTCTTATCCAATTTCAACTGAATTATCGTGAGTTAACTTGCTTTTTATTTCGAACTAGTTTTGGATGGGTTGCCTTTTCCTTCATGCTCATATCACAAGTTATGAGCCTTAACAGGATGGCTTGTCTGTTTGTCAGTCTTATTTTTGCTCATGATCTTTCGTTTTCTACTGAGTACCTCAGAACCTTCCATTTCTAAAAGAAATTGCTTATCGTTACCATGATTGTTCATTGTTTTGCCCTTCAGATAAACTAAAATTTGGAATATGGAAAAAAGGGTTGATAAGAAACAATAGTACTAACTACTAACTATTAAGGTAGAAACAAGAAATTTTCAGATAAAAAATGTTGTCTTCTGATATTTCTAGTGCAGATATCAGGCACTTTGTCATGAGAGTTGCACTTGTTAATCTTGTTCCATGGCTTTGGTATAGCTAATGAAAGATAATAAAACATTAAAACCAAGTGAATCAGGCAACTTATAGATCTGTTTTTGAATGCATTTTCCTGAAGTAACATGGTTAGAAGAACTGGTGAAAACTTCCCTTACAAGTTGTTCAGAGTGAATTCAGTATTGGTTTGTATAGAGGAAATGGATATCTATTGATGCCAACTAGATTGGCATCTAGTTGCTTTGCTCCTTCTGATATATTAATAATTAAGTGTAGCTCTCCTAACAGTTCCGTATCAGCTCTTCCCACAGCACTGATTGAGGATCTCCTGACATGGTTTCTGCCCAAGAAAACCATTTTTTTTAATGCTTTAACTTTACAAATTATATGTTGCTTTCTTGCAGTATCATTGAGTTTTAGTATCTTCTTTCATATCTAAGTGCTTTTATTATCTTCTTTTCAAAGATCTTTGTTATGCTGCCTTTCACGATGAAGAATGGGGAATTCCAGTTCATGATGACAAGTATGTACTTCTGTGATGTCCAACAATCTTTTGGTTTCAAATTCGGACATTAACTTTAGATATTGACTTCCTTCACCTATTTTTGCGAGCACAGGAAACTTTTTGAATTGCTGAGCCTGTCAGGTGCTTTGGCTGAACTTACATGGCCTGCCATTCTTAATAAAAGGCATATATTTAGGTACTAATTATATTCTTTGTAGTTTTCTTGAGGATTCTATGGTTGATTATGTATTTTCTTGTGCTTTCTGCCTCAGCTCTGGGAATGTATAAAGATTTTGGCATCCAACTCTTGAATTCATTGCTAGTCTTTTAGCTGTAACTTAAATAGTGGCATTTTCATGTTCTAGGGAAATCTTTTTGGAATTTGATCCCAGTGCTGTTTCCAAACTAAATGTGAAAAAGATAGCTGCTCCTGGAACTCCTGCCACCTCTCTGCTATCAGAGCTAAAGATTCGAGGCATCATTGAAAATGCACGTCAAATGTGCAAGGTAAGGACCTTTTAATTGTTGGAGGTCACTTGGTTCATATTGAAGAAAGCACAAAAAATGCTTACTTTTTGGTGCTTAATGAGTTGCTGATACTTGCTTAAGAAAGCTGTAAGTTAGCATGCAATATCTAGGAACCATCATTCTCAATAAGCCTCAATATGTGAACTAAAGGTAATATACCTATTCTTGTATGATATAGCTGCAAATTCTTTCATAATGCAGGTGATAGATGAGTTTGGCTCATTCGACAAGTACATTTGGAACTTTGTAAACCAGAAGCCAATAGTAAGTCAATTCCGATATCCACGGCAGGTGCCAGTTAAGACTTCAAAAGCTGAAGTGATTAGCAAAGACCTGGTAAGAAGGGGGTTCAGAAGCATAGGGCCAACAGTTGTTTACTCTTTTATGCAAGTGGCTGGTCTAACTAATGACCACCTCATTAGTTGCTTCAGATTCCATGAATGCATCAAAGGATCAGAAGCTGGAGAAAAAGATGAAAGCAAACCGAAGGCCGAGAAGAAAAAACCTGAGGATACAACTGATCTGGTATAAGACCTGTGGTCTGTAGATATCTCGAGTTCCTTTGGACGTAGATATCTGTATCGGGGTTTTTAGTGGAGGGGTTGCAACTTTATCTGTTTATTGGGATTTTGATACACATTGCGTGGCTTGGTGGATCGGTTGCAGGGGCTGGTTTGTGTATAAATGTTTTCCCATGTTGAACGTATCTAGAAGTATTTTGCATTTATATATGTGATTGACCAACGTGCAAGATTCATTCTCCAAACACATTTAGTAGAGAACTGTTTAGATTCTTGTTTTGTTTTATTTTATGAGAAAAGCTTCTTTCATTTCAGATAACTACAAGCCTACAACCTTGGATGTTGCTTTCATAACCTTGAATGCGGAATCGTGAATTTTGGGCTACATTTAAGGCTGCTATTGTCTAAACCCTTTTTTCTAAAAAAATCCAGAATGAAAAACCACAACCTCTTATTGATAAGCAAAACCCAAAATGTTAAAACTGTTAAAAAGCAAAGCATAATCTTTTTGCTTCTTATGACATTAACGTTAATTAATAAACTGGAAACCTTGATTTTGTATTTTGCAAGAATCCAAGATTCAAAATCCAGTGGTTGCATTCAATCCCTTGAACAAGAACAATTTAAAATCCCAGTTTCGAAGTTCCTCTTTTTCATTTTTTTTTTCTAATTGATCTTGTATTTACAAAATATTAATCTAAGTTCATAACACTACTACAGACTAATGAACTAAAAATGCTCAGTTGGAAGTTGGAACCCTTTCCTTTTTTCCATCTGCCCAGCACTAAACTTGAAAAAGAAAAGCACCAAGAAAGGGAATACGCATTTTCTCTATCTCGGTTTTTTAACTAATTCACTTGAATTTTGTTGGAAAAATTCTTCCTGAAATGGCGGCTGCCAGTGCCGCTGTGAAGTTGGGATCTCTTGTCAAGGAAGAAGCCATTTGTTCCACCAAATACTGTTTGACTTCTGGTGAATCCATTCTTGGTTTCTTGGTTTCATCATCACCATGGTTAGGCTTGGTCAGGTCTAGAGTAATGGTTGGTCCGGCTGGGCTGAGCGAGGCTGCACCAAGAGTACTTATGCCCCCTCGGCTTGAGCTCGAATTCGCCTCCATCTGAGAAGGCGGTATATGGTTGTGTTCCCCTTCATATGTTGCTACCACAACACATTGGTCCTCAACACTGCGCTGCACCTGAACCCCAAAAAAACATATACTTTAGTTTTCACATTTTCTTGTGATCTGTTTTCTAAAACAACTTCTCTACCACAAAAGTTGAAGTTAGGCCAAACACAGTTTGGAGCAAAAGTTAAGACCTTGTGCTAGCACTAACCTTCTTCTTAACAGGGCAGCTTGGAGCAAAAGAGCATTTGAAGTAAGCTCTTGGACAAGGATTGTCTCTAGTGACCTTCTGCCCATATTTCCTCCACTGATATCCATCCTTCACAATCTACAAATTGCATACTAAAATTGCTTAATCACATGTAAATTAGATGCAAAAATCTTTATATTTTATGCAAAATAGAGATGAATTTAGAGATGAATTTGAAGCTTACCAGGCTGGTATCAGAAGGTTCAGTCCTGACAGCAATTCTCGAAATCTTGGCCTTGACAACTTCTTCGGATCTGGGTTTCTTGCATGATTCCTCGTCAGTGGAACTGCTCTCGGAATTTCCCATGATTCCATGGTTTTGGTCATTGTTGTTGCTGCTCTCAGACTTCCTTTTCTTTGAAGGGCTAAGCTCCTTTTCTGGATTCTTGTTCATGTAGTCCATCAACTGGCTCCTCAAAGCATTGTAATTTTCACACATGGTCCTTAGCATCTCAGTCAGCTTCTTGTTTTCCTCGCTTACCCGGTTAAGTTCTTCTACTAATTCAGCAGTCTGTAAAGATAAAACCCTTAACACGTAAGAAATAAAAGGGGGGGAAAAAAATTCACAAAACATACATAAAATTATGAAACTAATTAACTAGAGTTTAGCTGAGTTGATAAGCATTTAAAACATTAATTCCAAATTCAATTAGATTAGGACGATGAAAAGATGAGGAGAACTCACCTCTTGTTTGGCTGGAGACGTGCTTTTCCTTTCAAACTCAATCAAACTGCTATGGACTTCCATCTTTTGTGTTTGAGAGGACGTTGAATTCCCGTGTACCGGCTGAAGGCGACGAGGGTTGGAATTAAGATCCAAAGAAGTATCCACCCAAGAAGAGTAATCCATGTATAGAATTCTGGAACTTTCACCAAGACTTAATGAGCAAACACACAACTTTCTTCTGAATACAAATCCAAATAGTTGCGTCAAATATGACCAAAGAGAGATGAAAACAGCTATCCCCAATAATGCTAATTTCTGGTATGTTTCCTAGAACAAGCTAGTTTCTCCTCGTGAAATAATAAAGAAGAAACTATATATATAGAGAAGGTGAGACGAAAGGCAAGGAAGGTTGGTGGAAATGGAGAAAAAGAGGAAGAGGAAAGAGAAAGGATAAAAAAGAGAGGAATTGGTTAGATGAGATCAACTAGGAGGGTAGGGCAGCTGACGGCCATGTGGTTTAATTAAGGTTAAGGGGAGACCTACGTTGGATAAAATAGTGGGGATATAATAAGGGCACATTGTGTTTTTTATGTTTATTTACGGAAATGGAAATCGAAAGGTGGGGTTGAGTTTGTCGGTCACGTTTTGAAAATTGAAATTCGTCGGAGGGTGGGGTAGTGGTTTTGTCAAAGTCAAGCACACCAGAAAAAGCAACGGAACATTGAGTGTTCTTGTCTAGATGGTTTCTACTAAGTCGGAGATCAAGGTTGACCCGACGCTCTGCATTTTAATTAATACGCTACTAAAGGACTTTAATTTTTTATTTGCGAGTGAATATTAACAACTCTTTTTTTTTTTTTTTTAACAGAACAGAAAAAGTTCTTACACGAAGGTTACACTATGAAGTATTTTTTTACATGGGTTTTTTTATTTTGTGTTTTTATGAAATAAGATAAAAGTATATTTTTATATTTTTTATTATAAATGTATATGTGAAAATATAAAAATTGATATTAATTTTAGTGTTAGGTGAATTTAATTAG